TTTTGTGACCCGATTATTGGTAAAGAGTCAAGCATACAGTTATGTTTATTAACCTAGCACGAAGCTGTGTCACGCTTATGATAAGTGCCCACAGTCTCATGAAAAGCTCTTACGGACATCTTGAATAATATATCGTTTACTCATACTGCGATGTTGGTGACCTCTTGCAGAATCTAGATGCACGTGCGCCTGAATGTTACCCTAAACAAAAAGAGCTTTTGTATATTCTGAACCTTGAGTTTCCTTTTTATTTCTCTCCAGCACCAATATTTAAGTCGAAAACAATTGCATGAAAGTACATGTGATTTTGAGAAAGTTTCAACACGAGAGACTATCAAAATTCATCAGCGCTGTATTCGCCTAGATCACCTTTAGATTCTATAGTTTTCAGTATTTGTTCAAGGGCTATTGTTCAAGGGCGATTGTTCAAGGGCAATTGTTCTAGCGCGAATTTTATCCAAGTTGCCAAAAAATAGAATTAAAACTGAACTATGCTGAACTTCTTTCGTTTTCTATTTCCGCTTCTTCCTCATGCCTTTTGGAATTTTGCACCTATAATCTACTAGTCAAACAAATTTGGGACCTGAAAAGGTTCCGAAACGAGTAAAAACGTAGATCTGCATCGAAAAGAGATCTTCTGAAACTTGTTGTCACTACATTCGAGTCATCCCTTATAAAACATACTTCCTTTAGGCGTTTGATCATTCTTTGATGACATTTTTATTTTCTACAGGTTGGTTCTGAGTTTTTGAAAGCATTCAATATAATTTACAGCCAGAGACACAAGCCTGCCGCTACTGAATGTCATCAATAGCTCAACAGAATAAGCTAAGAAAAATAAACTTTTTGAAGAGAGTTTCGCCATATAAAAAGACGATTTTGAAAGACATCTCCAACGACAAAAACATCACTGAATTGTTCAAATTATACTCCTATATTTCTAAACAACAAGTCCAGATTTCGAGGAGCTATCGTCTTATTAAGGGCACGAGTGGAGAATAATCAAATTGGGTGTTGCACATGAATTAATTATTGAAGGATGACGGCCTGAATGACAAATCGCGGGGAAAAAGGTCCTCGGGCTCTCGATTTTGCAATTTGTTTTGGTCCATTTTGGTTGTTTTATGACTTTCGAAGGTAGAGATGGGTAATGGTATTTCAAAATATGTTCACACTCAGTTGCATTATCGCGTTGCATAGATCAAAAAGTGAAGTGGGGACACTTGCTCATTGGTTTTGGCAAATTGATTTGATCAAAGAAATAAAACTAGAAAATAGTTCATAAAAACATTCAAACATCTCCCAGAGACGTAACTAATGTCGATACTTGCTCTCTTCCAATAAGCTCTTGCCCCTAAGATTTTTATTTTAGACGGTTGTTCAAAAGAAATCTAGAGAAGCTTCTGTGATGTCTCCGTTAGGAAATTTATGTGCACAAAGATGGCATCGGAAATCCGATACCTCTCTTGGTCAAGATCGAGGGGGACATCTTATCCGAAATTCAAGAGATAAAGGGACGATAAAATGTACGCACTGGTATATTCATCTGACAAAGGAACACAACTGTTCAATGATATAAAGAATCCTTTTCATAATCCTCACATACCAGAATCTGGCGTTTGCTTTTTCTGGATGATTTTTATTGAAAGAAACATCAATTTTACAGAGTGTCATTGGAGGGATGCAAGACTCACCAACTTTTATTTTAATGGTAGATTCATCTAATTAAAGGGGCAAAAAATATATATCCTCCGAGCCAACGGCCTAACCCGTGTCAGGCGACCTAACTCGCCTAGACAGCTCTATTATCCCGTGGCCTCTCCCACAAGTAAGAGTTAATAACCTCTAAAAGATTCAGTCAAAAATAAGATACGGAAAGTATTCCACAATATTATGAAACAGGCTCGAGCTGTCTCTTAAACTACGAGTAGATCGGTTTATAGATAGTTCGGTCTCAGTGAATAAGCCTAGTCTATCGGTCGTATTCTCGATCTCTAAAATAGGTCTTGTCCTTCCTCGGGGATGTCTCAGCCTCACGCTCCTTTATATTTCGGAACCCTTCTATACAGTAGGTGAGGGGTAACCCCTATCAGGAATGTTTAGACTTTTCGTCCTTCGTATTATACAAGATGCCAAAATTTTATAATATTGTTGATGTCGTATCATGACCCAAAATATTATGAAACAGCCTGGAGCTGTCTCTTAAACTACGAGTAGATCGGTTTATAGA